GCAGCGCCCGTCATTCGCAGCCTGTGTGTATACAAACTTTGTATACAGCCGCATATGAGCAACGGTAAAGTATGTAAACACCTTCGCGCGCGTCTAACCAGCCGCGTTATATCGTCGTCGTCGTTCTTATCGCATCGGGTGCTCTTCGATTTTAGTGAGATTATGTTTCGACTGTCTACAGTAGCTAGATCCGATTCAACCTCCGAATTAAATGCCAATGCTGTGTATTATATGTGTATCATATCATATTCTATAGAGGCCAATGCATTCGTGTTTGTAGATACCGAACATTTCTTCCTTAATCAATCATCAATTCATCGTCATCACCATCATCATCGTCGTCGTCGCTGTCGTCGTTGTCGTGGTCGTCGTCGTCGTCATCGTCATCCTTCGCACACGACCGCCACCACCGCTACTGCTACTCGCAGCTGCGCTCCTGCTCGATAGCACCGCAGCAACGGATATTACATTATTGCATTTGCCGAGTCTTTCAGTTCATCGAGCTATGATGATTAAAGAGCGAGGTACAGCACAACAATAAAAATCCGGAATTCCTGCTTTCTTTCTCCTTTTCTATATCGTAACAAACCCTCGATCCAAGAGTGAATTTTGACACTGCGGAGTATGCCATCCACCCGCTTTATTTATTTTTTTTAAAGTGTAAAAAAATGCAATATATCGAACTATGCAGCGCGAAGATGTACCACTCTTTTGGGCTTAGCGCGTGTGTGTTTGCAAGCGCACGAGGGCTGCTGTATCGTGTTTACGCGAGGGGAGATCACAAGGGGGGCAGAGGGGTGGGAGGAAAGAAAAATAAGTGGGGAAGAGAGGCACAAGACGGTATAACTTGTTGCTACCACTCGTATTATATCATAAAATTGAGATTCGATGGTATTCGCAAGTCGAGCTTTATTAAAGCCCGAATTTGCGCGACCGACAGCGAACGCTTGTCAATGAAAAATAGCGCACAACTGAAATATAAGACGGGTTGGTTTATTAGATTCTCTTTGTAATCAAGTTTGCCTTTGGTAACTTAGCCTAGCGATAGTTGCGCGCACTTGTAGTGCTTGAATCGCGTTTTATTTGGATCAGTATCGGAGCGAGATCGATGGTTTTCAGATTGTTTGTCCGATAATACATGGTCGACCCAGTTCGAATTAATTATTAATACACGGTTTGTTTATCTTTTGCAGATTGGAAATGAGCAGTTCATTGGAGCAGCATAGCGACGAGAATTTCACATTTTCGAAAAACTACGAGCAGCTGAGAGAAAGAGACAACAATAACTTGGACTACACCGGTAAGGATACGATCGTAGTTTTTTTTTTCTTTTGAGTTTTGCTATATTTTCTCTTTTCGTGCGTTCGAGGGATTATCCCGTACCCTCTATGGAATTATTGCTTGTAAGGGAAAAATTTGTGAGACGTCGCAATTGAAGTATGCCCTGATATTTCTCTCCGTGTGCAGTCGAGACTGAAGGATGAGCTTCACTTTATTAAAAAGTCCGTTAGAAAGCACCCGTACGAATGTGAAATTAATAAAGAACGAATCAAAAGTTGGTCGTAACACAATACTCGTAACTTCGAAGATGCATATCACCTGTATTCATTATACTTCAATGCGTAAAAGTTGTTTGCTCAATGAAGTAAAGATGTTAAAATCGATATGAATATGATTAAAATGAAGTAAAGAATAAATCTGCTATGAAAAAAATGATAACTCTAAAAATACAACGATTTAACCGATTTTTATCTTGATAACACGTGTACATTTTTTGTGCAACCATTTTTAAAGATTAGGATTTATTGTAGTTTTGATAAATGATAATATCAATTTTGAGAAAAGCAACGCGCTCGATTGGTTTTTTACTGACATTGGAAATGGCTGATTTCAATTTGCATCATAAGTAGTTTTTTATTTATTTAAAGTCAAGTTAAAGATAATTTCATGCATTATGGAAAGCTTGAAACTATCGATGTTCAGGGACTTGAAGACTATACTATTAATAAATAGTTACGTAGTTTACTTTCTATGTCTGTTTTTAAAATACAAACCACTCCCCCACCACTCGAAGACAATTTAATTTAATTAAACAATTTGTTGTAGAGTACACGAGTCTCTCACCGGAGACACATCCAATTGTTTAAGTAAATTAAATTGTCTTGCAGAGCACGGAAAACAGGCGACGAAACGTTGACGTTTGCATGTGATGTAAATTTTTTTAAAGTAATTTTTGTTTGTTAGATTTAAGGGATAACCTTCGAGGCCATTACTCGTATTTTTTTTAAATATATACTTTTCAATGAAAAGTTGTTAGAGGCCGCTTCAACTTGATTTGATATTCATCCGAAGTTTGCTTAGCTATGCCAATGCCGAGACATAAATACCAAGATGGTTTTTTACCATAAAAATTCTTGTACAGTATATGTTGAGTGGAAACTTCCTTGCCTCTGGAAAGCTACAGGACCACAAAAAAATGCCTCTGTGGTTTCGTTGGACGAACTTTAATTTAAAAATATAATTACTGAAAACTTCTAACTTGAAAAAAAAACATTACTTTTTACTCGACATCGTGAGTTTACTTTGAAACATAACTTTGTAATGAAAACCTATTATTAAAAATACACGAGTCAAAGTTTCATAGAAAAACTGTTTGATCTATTACTCGGTAATTGGTACTTAAGGCATGCGGGTTAATAACTCATATTGGATATAATTATAGACTAGGTCCCGCGTACAATACTTATAGTTTTGGTCTCGGGTCTGAAACTGACATAAAAAAAGTATATCCCAGATATAGAGCTTTGATAGACGAAAACTACGCCATCGAACATTTCCGAGTGCCAAACGAGACTTGCGGGAGGCACACGCGAACCCTGACCAAGCCAAATTCTCCGTGCGATGTCTAATGGACCGATGTAGGGAGAGGTTTTATAACTGCACTCAAAAAACGCTGCGTAACTACGCTTCCAAGTGCACGTTGGCTAGCTCGACAACTGAATAATTCAAAAATTCTTTTTTACTCTTTTTTTTAATCGTTCCAGACATAATGGAAAAGTTTTTTGAAAATAATTTTGGCCGAGAAGTCTTGCGACGACCAATAAACTAGACCGATGAGATTAAATCTAATAATCGAATACATTTTTGCCCGAGAGTAGTTTTATGTTTCAAAAAACCCCACAGATATCCAATAAGTATAATAGAATTATTGGACATGATTGATAACCAGACATTGATCAATAGGGTATCCCTTATTTCTCAAGTTAAATATTTTCTGCATACAGGACAGCGCAGACCATTAGTATATTATGAAAAATGAAACCCAAGATGGTGTAGACAAAAAACGAGAAAATTTAACGTGCGCGACCAACTGAAAAACTTCGTTTTACTAATTAAAAAATACCCTCTGAAAATTTGGAAAAAATTCACGCATTTTCGACGAATTTCAATACTATTTCGTTCTTTTCATATTTACGATAAAATCGTGCTTTCTCGAAACGAAAGAATTTCAAAGATTTAAAATGTGTTCTTCTCGTGGCTCTATTATATTTAAATTTTTTCGGGAAATGCTCTTCATAATTTCTTCATTATATTATAACTTTAATTTTTTCGATTTATTTACCTCGGATCGAATTAACGCACCAAGTGCTAAGGACAAAGAGGCGTCGGGCTGTAAGTGACGTGTTAAATATTACAATGACACTAGTTGAACTGTTTTATTTCTTCTCTACATCCCTCTGGGTGGCGTATTTTATAAAATATATTAATAAGCTAAGCTATCCCATGCAAAAAATATTAGATTTATTAAATCAGAAACCCCATCACGATCGATATACCTTCGAAAATTGGAATTATGATTGGAAAAATTTTTCGATTTATTATCAAACTTTATATTCCAACAATTTATTTATTTTTGAGTAAAAAGTCACAGTAGTTCGTTCGCTGGCAATTTTACCACCCCGTAAAAAATGAATCCATCAGAACTTTCCTCCGTCATATTTTTTTCGTGAGAAAAAAAGGATTTTTTATGACGTTTCAGAGATGATTTTTTTTCAAAAGTTATCAAACTACTCTTTTGATCTCGAAAAAAAACCATTGAGCAAGCTTTACAATGTGCTATAAAGTTGATTTTTTTTACAACCCAATACAGCCCTCGTGAGTAAAAATCTTTACGGCGCGCGTCCAAAACGGTCTAATCTAAAAGCTCGCCACGTTTTAAAATATGATACAAATTTTATATAGATTTTAGTGATAAAAAAAAACTTCGTTGCTCAACGCAGCGAAGTCTAATAAAACTTCAAATATTTTGCACGCAGCAAATGATAAAGGCCAATATATATTGAGAAAGAGAATTTCAGTTTCCGTCCGATTAAAATCGCGCATCGCGTTGTACTTCGAATGTAACCTTGGTATACATGCCTCAACTTCTATTGTATAAAAGATATTAAATAGCTCAACGGATAAGATACGAAGTCGCACAGAGAGAAATATATACACACAAAGCATTAGAACTTGGATGATTGACGGCTTTATCAGTGTCAGGGAATCAAGTCAGGAATTTGTGAATCAAGTCTTATAAGCCAGCTTTTCTGTCCGTCATTCGAAAGAGATGATACATTCCTGTCAATCTTGCACACGCGTGTGTGTGTGCATTGTGCTTGAAACACGATCTTCGAGTGAAGAAAAATATTTTTAAAGAAAAATACAAAGTCGGTGCTTTGAAAAAAGTCAAGTCGTAAAACACAAGAAGATTGTTATTATTATTATTATTACAGGATGAAAAATGAATCGCTAGAATGACGGTTCCGCAGAAACATTTCATTCAAATGATTCATTGTCCGATACACGATTCTCGGAACAAATACGGTTTGCAACATTACGTTTGAAAATTCAAGTTCTCTTTTATTTTTTCATTACCTACCGACTTTTGATTGATCGTTTTTTATCCTGTCGAGACGATCCGCGCTCGTCTCGAGCGAAAATGTGATCAAGCCCATCCACCTCTTCTGCAGCACATGCGATCAGCGTATCAGTGTGTGTGTCCGTGCGAGCGGCGTTATAATATCCTGGCGCTTCCACACACACACACACACACACACACACACACACACATATATCTATGTATAAATGTGGTAGAGTCTGCGCAATATCTTGGCCGGAGATCTCCTGGCACACCGATAATCGCTCACAAGCTGCTGCTTCGAACTCTTGTATTCGGAACCAGCGGCGGCAGTGGCGGCAGTTGTGGCACACGATTCGTTTCGCGCGTGGTGGTGGTGGTGTCGGCGGCGATTTCTTGCCTTATTACACAGTGTATTAGAAACAACGAGCACTTCTTCTGTGGTAAAGATCGTTGCGCAAATTTACTATTTTTCACGTCCGTTTTTTCCGAAACACTACTATCCAGCTGATCGCCGCAGCACCATGACAAGCAACGTTTGCTAAGAGAACGCACGATTGTGCACTTGTGCGTTGTTCGTTCTTTTCTTTTTGTGTGCAAATACAATCGAACGTCGTGAGCGGACTAAGTTTCGCGAAGTGCATTCGCGGGATAATAAGCGCGCGAGTAAATGAAAATTATTCGCGCGCACGCACTCGATATAGTCGGCGTTGTGTTGTGTGTAGCGCAGTGCATGCATCTCATCGCATCATATGCCCGATCACGCACACAAACGTGCTGCAGTCAGCACGATTGAGGAAATTCGCGTGCGCGGCGGGCGGCGGACTCACTGCAGCAGCAACAGCTTTTCACGACAAGTAAATAGTGGTACGCGGCGCACAGTAGTACACGACGACGACGCGTGTTGGTGTGTACATCTCGCGCGTAGTAAAGCACTCTTCTCAGTCGATTCTAATATAAACACAAACGATGTAAATACAAACACTGTGCGTGGCTCGCGTCAAGATTTTGATACCTTACAGAGAGCTGCAGTGAGCCGAACGGCGCCACTTTTTCGCGGACTGATAGAAGAGCAGCTTTTGCGTGCGTTTGGTACAGCAGCGTACGCGCGAATATATATGCACACAGTCTCCGCGAGTATTAACCTCCAAGACTTCGAGAGCTGCAGTGCGAGGTGATTCATTCGCTTTTGTACATTATAAGATTCGCCGAGTCTCGAGTAGCGTGCGAATGAAAGTACGTGTTTAATACAACGCTATGTCTGTGCAGTCTCGTACACACATTATACGTAAAGTAGTAGTGGCTGCTATGCAGTTTGTCATTAATGACTCGCTTACACACACACACACACACACGCTCAGAAACACATCAGGGGCTCGAGTTTCGGATTGCTCGTGCGGATATGAAAGAGTGACATAGATGACGAATAGGAAGCCCGCATTTTCAATGTAATTTAGCGCACGAACCACGATTGATGATAAAGGCGGTTTCGAAGCACAAAAGAAAGTCTCTCGATAAAGGACGTTAACGTGGAATTTCGTTCTATGAACAGCAGTCTATTGCGACATTGAGTCACTACTTCGCGCGTGCTTTACTTTACTTCGATCTTGAGAAGTCATCAAACGTTGTTATATACTCTTTAATAAAAATTGATTGGCTAGATTTACTTATGGCATCGAGAGTAAATTTCTTTCATGTCCTTTTTCAGTTCCGATAGTCGAGCACAAGAAGCGAGTGTACCGCTGCAAAGTCTGTCACAAGAAGTTTCATCACAGGCGCAATTTGCAAAATCACGTCTACATTCACTTGAAGATACCCTATATTGTGCTGAAGAGAGTACCATACACTTATCAGCCAGCGTTCAAGACGCAAGCAGCCGAAAATTATTCATTAAATGTAGAACATCCAGGAGACCTGAAAATCAAACTCAAGAGAACAGATTCGTTGAAACTGACCCTTAGAAAATCACCTCTTGGAACAGAATTTTCTGTGGTTAGTCCTGTCGATCCTGCCAAAGAGGAAATACAAGAAGAATCCAAGCTGGCGCAAGAACACATGAATGATAAAAATGATTCTGAGGAGGAAAAAACCTCCAATCATTCTGGTGAAAACGAAGTATTTCTGGAAACGGTAGGCTTTTTATAACTAAAAATATTCTAGTTGTATAGCAAAGATTATGGTTAATATTTTTTATTTCATCTACTAGAATCATACATCTAACGAAGATATAGATTCGGAACCAGAGCAAAATCCACTAGAAAGTATAGAGCAACCTTCAATGGATAATAACGAAGGTGACTCAGGGGTTGGTAGTGACTCCATTAATCCTTCTGAAAAAGAAGATGAAAATGTTGAAGATGTAGTTGCTGATCATAACAGTAATTCAAATCAAGCTGAAGCTGCTGAAAATGATGACATCGAAGAATCCGATGCGATTGAAGCAACTTGTAGAGAGACAATTGAGAATTTAAAGATGCTAGGAGAACACTCAAGGTAATTAATTTAAATCAACTGTAAATTATTAATTGTGAAAAAATGCATTTATTATATGTGCAACGCTAATGCTGCTGAATGTTTATCATTATGATTTTTTATTCAAATTGGTGTTATTTCATTGTCATATTTCATTTTTCTGAATGAAATTTTTCATAGCAAAAAATTTATTTTTCAATGTATTGTAATAATCATTTTTTCATTCATTGTATTGCATTTTATCATTTTTTATTGCATTTTTATTTTGCCCTTTTGCTGGTTGCTTGATTTTCATTTTGTTCTCTATACCATTCAGGTTGATTAGTTCCAGATCGCAACTTGAAGAAGAACCAATTGTAACTGTTATTCAAGAAAAAGACAAAGACGATGAAATAGAACTTTCTGATACTCTCAAAGAGCTCCAACGCCATTGTGAAATAAGTATAGTTCCTAAATCTGCTTTAATGAAAGAAAAGACAAACACTTCTGTATCTCATGAAGCAGAAACTGAAATCAGGCCTATTGGTACCAGCTCCAGCGTTAGTTGGACAGCATTAACTGAAGATGCTCGTAGCCAAAGTCCTCAAGTCAGCTGCGAAAAAACTTCAGGAGCTCAAAAAAGTATAGAAACTCCTAGTTCAATGCTTCAAAATTTCTTGAATGAACACGAAAGAAATAAAGCAGAATCAAATGCCAATAATCAAATCCAAGAAACGGAATATGTTTCTTTGGAAAAATTAGCTGAAAAAGTCAATGTTTGCAAAGTTTGCAATGAAAAATTTAAGGATACAGCGCATTTAGAAACTCACAAAATTAAAGCGGGACATTTTCAGTGCAAACAAACAGACTGCAGATCTCTGCTTTTTAAAACCTCAGCAGAGCTATCATCTCATGTGTCTCTACATCACAGGATTTCATCTGTATCACCAAATGTTAGCAACAATTCATCTCCTCATCATGTATCAAGAAATTCTCCTCATTCAATTTCGCCACAATTGAATACCAACTCTCCTCTTTTAAACACCCATTCTCCTAGTACCAATTCGCAATCTCCTCATTTAAATACACACTCTCCGCATTTAAATACACAATCTCCTCACTTGAATACTCAATCTCCTCATTCACCTGTTATGACGGCGCTCACGTCGCCTATGAATTCTCCAGTTCCAAATCTTCCAGCTTCATCGTCCTTTAATACTCAGCCAGCTCCAACGTATGCTCCAATAAGTATGGATCAATTGCCAGCACCAGTACAACAATTGGCCCAACAAGTTCAGAGGATGCCTTTACCACAAAGTCAAATGAGTACTCCTATGATGAATGCTCAAAATTACTATCCTCCTCCTCCTAGTCATGCTGGAAGACCACCAATATACAGAGCAGCTATGCATTATGCAAGTCAGATGATGTACCCATTTTCGTATCCTCCAATGGGCATGCAGCCACAAATGCAACAACATGTACCTAGGCCAAGATATCAAGTTCCGATGCAACAACGGTGAGTTTTCAAATAAAATATTTTATAACATAACACTGATTACTCAGTACCAACCAAATGAGTTTTACTCTTATAATTAATCGTTTTCTGTAAATAAAAAGATATAAGAGATTGTTCTAAAAACTTGTTATAAAATCCTAATCGAATTTCGAAAAAAATGCGCGTAAAAAAAATATTAAAAAGCGTGTATTTCAATTCTGCTGTTCTGTAAAAATTATGCTAAAAATTATTGTTGAAAGAATTTAAAGCTTAAGACGCCAATTAATAATATTTTAAAATACTTTTAAAAAGTATTTGTAGCAAACTGGAACTCTGATTTTGAAATCGTTACACTTAGTATCCAGTCGTGAAATACGATGCGCAAATCACGAGCGAATACACTATCTCGAAATGAGGCTCGCAGGCTTATGTCAATCGTCAAAACAATTCAGCGCTTTGTCCTTTGTTGACTGCGCGAATATTTTCTTTGTCTTTCAGGCTGTATTGGTGTCGGAGCTGTTAGTGGCACATTGCTAACATTGCGCTTCGCCGGTACAGTTGATTCGCGCGTAGTAGTCTGTTGCTAAAAATCGGGAAAATGAAAGTGCTTATAACTGAAGACATTTTGATAAAACGCAAGGCTAAAAAAGTTAAGAAGATTAGGTAGTTTGACAAAAAATGTGCTGTAATTCAATATTGTGGAAAATATCGTTTTGTTTATGGTTTTTAATTTGTGCAGGAATCGGGCTCCGGTAGCGATGCCGCAAATGCCGCAGATGCCTCAAATGTCTCAAATGCCTTCGGGTATAAGGCCTCGAATGAAACGGCCCCCGCCCCAAGGTATTCCATTGCAGGCCCAACAAGCACCCTCTGCGCCAAAACAAAGGCGCATGGATGTTCTGCTACCCGACAGGAACGAAGATGCCGATTGTCATGTCATTGCTCAACAGAAAAGAAACAATGGTTTGCCCGTTATTCAAAATGTTCAAGGTGGTAACAATTCCCAGCAACAACAGACTAATCGACCCGATCCAACTATACATTTGACGGACTCTATCACATTGAGTGTCAGACAACCAGGTATGAAAATATTTCGATTATCAAGTCGAATTAAAATTTATGTATTTATTTTTTATGTCATTAATTTTTGTGAATGTCTTCATTTTGTGATTGTCTTAATGACAAATTATCAAATAAATTATTCCGTATTTTTTAAAATTTTTTTTTTAAATTTGAAAGTTAAATTCAGTTTTGTGCACTTTAATTTTCTTCTTGATTTTTTATTTGATAATACTTAATTGTTCAAAAATAAAAAGGAGAAGTGCACTATTAGCAAAATCATGTTTTTTGTAACTAATCTATAAGGTTCAAATCCAGAACAAGTCAATGCCATGCTTCAAAATGCCAAGAGATCTGATACAGCGGTTGTAACAGATGCTTTAACTGCGCGAGGTATAACTGTCACGCCAGCGGGTAAAAAAAATTTGGAGCAAACAAATCAAGCGCAAACACAAGCACAGGCACAACCACAACCACAAAGGCAATCAATAGATGTTTCATCTCTGAATTTAAGTCCTGCCATCTCTATTGTGCCAGCACAAAAGAAACAACCAGAAAAGCAACAACAACAAGTACAATTTGCTGTGCCACAGAGTAAACAAGCTGCTAAACCAACATCTAATGAGGTTGAAAGACCGCCTAGACCGCCTACAGTAGACTTGACTCAAGATGTGACACCAATTGTACCTCCTGTGAAAAGAGGCAGACCACCCAGGTATGTTACATTAAATTAAATTATTCATTGATTGTAATGTTTCTAATTTTTAAATAATTTTTTCAACAGTAGTTCTAGGCCATTGGTTTGTCAATTCTGCGATAAACGGTTTCCAAGTCAAGAAATATTAAATCAGCATATGACTACACATAGCAGGACAGCAAATAAATTACAACATAGGTAAGTTCATCAAAATCAACATTTTTTGACTGATTGCAAGACTTTATTAATAATTCATAAATTTGTTTTCAGATGCAATATATGTCAAGCTCTGTATCCAGATGCTAAAGCTTTGAATAGCCATCGAAGACTCTATCATAATAAGGACCTGGATCCAACAATACCTCCTTCACAGAATGGTAGTGTAGAACTAGCTATACCAGTTGTGGACATGAAATCTCCAAATTCATTATCCCGCCTGTCGCAACTTGGTATTCAAAGTTACATACCTCTTTCACAACTCAGTGCTCAAACTGGAGGATTTTATGGCCTACCGATTGTTACAATTGATGGAGCTCGAAATGCAGGTGCTGGTAGTTTAGCTGCTTTGGGAGCTACTTCAATTCTTAGTCTTGGTCCTCTTAAACAAATCAACTATAACAGATGATAACGAGGTCTAATCATATGTGACTGATTTATTTCTCAGTATAAATCAACACTTTGTTACATTTTTTTAATGTAGAAATTGGAATTTTTGAATTCATATTTTTGTTAAGTAAATGAGTATACGATTCAAAGGAATTATCGAGGGTCAAGCACTTCCAAAGCTTATTAGCCTGTAATGATCAAAGTTAGGTATAGAGTAATTGATAAATGAAAAGATCTTTTTTATAATTTAATTCTAATATAATCTGTATATTTAGTTAGTTTTTGCTAATGCCTGTATAGAACGGATTTTCTATACATTCAAATTTTGTGAAATACATTTAAATGTAATCGTGACGAGTTCTTGAGCTCATCATTGAAAGTCACATTTAAATGATGGACAAAATTTTTATCAATGAATATGACTGAAAAGCAAAATACTGAAATAGTTAAATTAATTATTACGTTCAAAAATTACTCAACTGATTTGTAGTATTAACATATCTAGAGGTACTACATGAAAATATGTAGTTATTAAGGCCAAATATCAGTATTGATTGTATTACGACGTTTGTCCTAAAATTTATGATATGAGAAATAGCTCTAATAGTGTATATTATATGCATAAACAAAACAAAGTGCAGAAATGTTTTTCATATTCTTTCATGAACGGTACTACAAAAGTTATACAACATTTATATGGTACTTAGGTAATATAAAATTATATATATTACAAAATAATTTACCCTTTAATCTCTTGTGAGAATTTAGTGGAAAGTTCAGAAGTACACACTGAGACAAAGCTTTGTCTAAAATCGTCAGTGCTTATACTTAAAATTTGTATATATTGTTTTAATATGGCTTTTGCAGAGTAAGCAAAAAATTAATGCTGATACAAAATCAAAGCCAATTACTCCTGAAATACCTCAAAGTTACAAATTGAAATTTCTATTGTAATAAAAACAAACAAGTATTGCATGAGAGCAAATAAAATTATTTTTCCAATAATTAATGTTCTACCGTTTAAATAATTCATGACTTTTGGTGCAGCATCATATTTTCACTGTGATAATAATATGCAATACCATTGCAATCTACTAACTTGTTAGAATTTATTGTCTAATACAAATTTATGTAGAAAAATAGATAATCAAAAATGCATGTATAGATATTCCAGAATGATTTACAATTTTATCATATGTTAAAAAAATTTGATGTCATGTGTTAAAATTGTTTAACAAACAATAAAACTAAGTTGTAAATATTTACATATATGAATGGAATAAAATATAAGTATACGAATATAAATGGATAGAACAACATTTGAAATGTGATTATCTGTACTGTTTACATTTGATCAATGATATTTTTATAAAGAAAATAAAAAAAGTATGCCATACAAATTTTTGTATTCATTGTGTTAAATAACAATAAAAAAATTTAAATTATCTGACCAAATGACTGTTTTATTATTTGTTATTATTTCTTTATTTTTTGACATGCCGTAAAAAATTTATAAAATGTTTTATCGATCTCGTCATTGCACGGCGATACTATTGCGCGTAGCAGAAAGTTGTGCAAACATCGCGGCTTTGAGGTTAATATTGCAGAACCAGTAGGCCTGTGAACTAATGCTTCGCAGGGGCAGAACAATAACTTATTACAATTGCCGGCTCATATTTGTTTATAACAATTAATTAATTAATAAAGTAATTGTTACTTCAAAAAATTCATTGATTAAGAAAGTTTGGAAGGTATGATGATTATGTCATATCAATTTGCATTGAAAATTTTGACAAGTGCTTGGAATTATCATCAATTATTAGATTTATTATAACGTAGACTCGTATTTAATTTTTATTGAAGGTCACGCAGAAACTAAAACATCATGATGAACAAAAGAGCAAAAAATGCCGTGTACGATCTTGGGCACAAAATTTGGGTCAGTACGTGTTTAGTTGCTACTGTTGGTGCAACAGCCTTTTTGGGATATAATGTTTACTGTTATTTCAAGTATGTAAAACCAGTGAAACATGAGAGAGAGGAAAGATTAAAAGAGGAGTTGCTTAAAGAAGGCAGAATGTTACAAGATTCTACTCCAACATTAACTCCTTAAATTTGCACAGTTTGGAAGTGCTAGTCTTAACATGTAGATTGTTACATTTTTTATTGTAAGTACTTTCATTCAGTTATGCTCTTTATGTATAGTACTTTTTTATAGTGCTTTACTATGGAAATGTAATTTGATAAAATATACATCCAATGTAAATAATTTAAAATATCAAAATACAATATATAATACCAGTATATCAAATAGAATATTGTTTTAAGTCAATAAAAAACGATTTTTTGATTTTATCTGAGTTTATTTTCATTTCAAAATATTTTTATTATTTGCTATGAGTATGCTAAAATTTTTATTCTAAACAAGATGTTATGGTTCAAGTGTAAGTTTTAAAATTTAATTTAATTTTTTGGGTCCTTTTCAAGTGATGTGAAATAAAATTTGACAGATTTTCTTGAGTAATATTTTTAAGATGTCAAGGAAACCTTGTAACATTTATAAAAGTAAAAATTTAATTGAAAAATGTTTTCCATTTTTATACTGCTCTTGAAACTTTTACTTAAATTTCTTCGAAAATAAAAAGTCTAGGAAAATGATACTTACAATTTTTAAATATTTGAAAGGACAAGGGAAGTGTAGCTGGGTTTCACAATTAAATTGAAAAAATATCATTTAAAGGTGTTTTATTTAAAATTGTTTGGAGACAATTTTTTTACAAGTAAAAAAATTAGATACTTTTCTACATCATGCATAGAGTTTCAATTTTAGAATTTTTTATTTGACTGGACTCAAAAAATATGCTTTTTATGTATCTTCAATTTTTACTCGAAATTTTCTCCCATGTGAATATATAGATCTAGATATTTATGACTATCATGGATAAAACATACTTATCCACAATTTTGAACTTAAGTTTTATGATATAAAATTTGTAGTTAAATAAAGATATTCTTATTTTCATTTAGTATATACACTTGTTAATCGTATTATTAAATTTTACTTTCCTCGAGTCTTTGTTCGTTTTATTTTACATACCATTTAATAATTTCTTATTTAATTTTTCACTGATCGAGGCTTTGTTTGTACCCATTGCCGTCATATTAATATTTATAATATTTTTATATTATGGACCTGATTCTTAGTACACACCAATAGCATGAATTTTATATACAAGGAAATGCAGGTTTTTAAGCAAATAAATTGCAGAAAAAAATCTTAAACAATCAAAAAGGAGGTCTAAAGCACAACTCAATTTTTCTGATTGTCGTTACAATTCTGTATCTACCACTCTGTCAAAAACAGGTAGCTAGTATCATAAAAATAATATAAACGTTTTACATACTTCATAAGCATAACTACATTTAATAATAGCTGCAATTGTATGTATTCTTTAGTTTTATTTTCATTTCAATGATTATTGCACCATATCGTTTTTAAAATTATCTTATCAATCAAACATATGAAAATAAATGTTTCAACTGTTTCCAACAAAAATATTGATCATGCCATTTTAATATACACATATTAACTTCTGAATTGGGAACATGTAATTTTTAAACCTCAAACCTCAATCAAATAGTTACTGAAAATTGTACAGTATGTTTGATCGATTTTATATGCGCTAAGTTTTATGCTCCTTGAAAATAATTACTTAAGCATCAAATAATTTTATAATTTAAACTAGTTTGAATTTTTATTTACAGGTGTACAAATTTATAAGTAATAATGATTATATTACAACGAAAATACTCTTAACTTACAATCTGATGATTGTAGGTTCCACTTCCATAAGATTAGTGGAATGTTTATACTATCTTTCTTATTCGCATATAAAGTCATATAATTCGTTTTATAATGTAAGAGAAAAATAATTTCTAATGTTACACTTATCCTATTTACAGTGCCTAATTTGTGTATATAAGAATTTTACAGCATTTGTGGTGTTCGTAGATATCAATCCTGTAATTGAGATATTCACGAATATATCTCTTTTGAACACTGTATTACTGAAAATTTAATAAATCCAGGGGATGTCTGTAGATGTTGAAAAGCAAGAATCTTTAATTCTATTTCAATCACTTCACTTAAATGTGACTTTGTACACATTATGACACTGAGCAACGTTCCTCGTAAGCAAAAATGATCAAGACAGAATACACTGAGTACAGATTTCTACACTGTAGACCAGCAATTAAGTATTCTTTTTTCTTTTCAATAACACACCCCGGATTTCCACATACTCTACACATTTGCACTAGAAACTGGTGGTGAACTTGCTGTCAAGGGATCCTTCATTGAATTGATTTTTGCAACAATTTTTAATGCAGGTCCTAGTTTAATGCTCATAGCCGACATAAGATGATCTTCCTTCAACAACATCAGAGCTTGACCATCAATTTCTTGAATGGCAAAGTCTTCAGCATAATCTTCACAGCCTGGCATATTACGTATAAAATCGCATACTTCTCCAACCTAATATTCAGATGAAAAATTATTACAAGAATTAAATTGTAGTGTTCCTTTTAGTTTATAACTACTTTAATAATGTATTGAATATACTTACAGTCCATTTGACTGGATTTATCTTTGGTAAACTGTCATCTAATATTTCTAAAGTGGAATTTAAATCATCACCATTTTTCTTCAATAAATCTATATCATTGTTAAGGCTCACATCCATTGGCCATTGTTTATTAACAGAGTCTTGAGTTTCCTTCTTTTTCCTATAAGTAAATAGTATTATTAGATGATTTAATATTAAAGGTTACTTCGGATATATATTGCCAAGGCCACTTACGATTTAGGACTAACTGTAGACAAAAGTTTTTTGTCTTTTTTATTTTTGGCGTTTTGATCCTCTAGAATATTGCTATCTAGTTTATCTGAATCAAGTGAATAATTCATCTTCTTACGTTTAGATAGTGGTTCTTCCTGATTTTCTTTATCAGCAGAATCATTTCTACCATTATTATTTGTCTCACCAGTCATTGAACCATTGAGTGAAGTACGGTTGACAGCAAAAGGTTCAGAAGCTGTAAAAAAAGGATTAGTTAAACAATTGTAAAGATAAATTTTATTACATTCAAAGATTTACTTTTTTTTAAAAAAAGTCCTATAAACAACGCTATTTTTAAAAATCATCAAAATTTACCTTCTTGAATGACAAATCCCTCAATAACGTGGGTCAAAACTTGTGGCTTGACCATGGCTTTTGGTGGCACTTGTTTGCCCATGACCTGCATGGGAGCTGAGTCAGCAGTTGTTTCTTCTCCCAAATTACCGTTGGGTATTGAATTAACTGCATTTGTCAGGTTGATAAGAGGATTAGTCGATGTTTTATGATCATCTTGTTTTGTGCCATTCATATTTTCATCTTTTTTACCAGCTGAGAAATGTCAAACGTGAGAATTATAAACGTGAAACATGAATCTAGGTCAAAAAGAAGAAAGCTATAATAAATTTACATACCCGAATCACGCGAAGAATCTTCAGTTGAAGCATCTTTTTTCGAAGCAACGGAGTTTCGTGCCTCGTCCGAGACGGCTGTCATAGGCCCTGAAGATGGAGGTGGAGGAGGTGGCATCATTGTTTGTATCTCCACGCTACCACTCCTATCCCCAGAAGCTACGATAATTGGCATGCTTGGATGAGTCGCAGTAGTGGACACAGCAACAGTTGTTTGTTCGTTTGCGTGCTGCTGTTGCTGTGACTGCTGTTGCTGTTGTTGTTGCTGTTGCTGCTGTTGTGCCTGCTGCTGCTGCTGCTGCTGTGCCTGCTGCTGTTGTTGTTGTTGCTGTTGCACTGCCGCTTGCAATTGCATCTGCTGCTGAGCCGCGACCGCTGCCAACTGATCAGTTGGTTGACTTACAATTGGCAGAGCTTGCAGCGTCGGATGACCAGCCAGCTGATTTCCAATCAAAGCAGGATTGATGCTTACTACAGGCATGATCGGACGCTCGCTGCCTATCACTTGTACGTTCGGCGCTGCTTGTCCTTGACCCACGGTCATGCCTGCAAGAGAATAAAAAAAACTGTTACCACGTAGTTCGCGCATGCATACGAGCGCATAATGAGACGATGCGTTTTCGGAGGGAATTACGAACGAAATAAAGCTCTACAAGCTGCTGCTGACCTGCGCGTTTATAATGAACAAAATAAGTTCCATTTTCAACCCGCTTACCCATTATAGGTTTAGGTTGTATCTGCTGCTGCTGGCCTTGAGCTTGATGATATTGCTGCATCTGCTGCGCCTGGTGTTGCAACTGATGTATGAATATTTGTTGAATCTGGTGTTGCTGCGCCTGCGCCTGCAGCTGCGCTTGGACCTGTGCCGCTTGATGTTGCTGCTGCTGCTGTTGTTGCTGCTGTTGCTGCTGCTGAGGCGATTGCATAACGTTGCCACCTTTGTTAGCCTGCTGTTGCCCGAAGTTCCCTTTGTCGTTCATCGGCGAGCTCGGTGGCGCTTGCTGGTTCGACTGAGCAGCTCCCTTTCCCGCGGCATTTTGAGTTCCGTTGGTCGCTACGGACACGGGTACCTGTTGCGGCTGTAGCATCATCGTGTGCTGGGCTTTGGCCGTCGTGACGTTGGTCGCACCGCTGTTGCTCGTCGTAGTGGCAGCAGCTCCGGATCCCGCTTTGCTCACAGTCACGTTCAAGTTCGGACCGGGCGACGTTCGCACCACGGGCTTGCCGCGACCTTTGCCTGGACCGACCGTGGCCTTGCCACCTTGAGAATGAACAGTAGCTTGTACACCGTGATTTGTCTGAGTTGACACAGAGCTAGCTGGTCTTATATTTGCTCCTTGAACACCTTGTAATGATGATGGCAAAATGCTCAAAGGACGCTGCGTGACCACACCTGCTTTACCTTGTTGCTGCTGCTGCTGTTGAATGTTCATTACCCTGGGTTTACCACCAGCCGTCGTTATCTGTTGAACCCCTTGAATTTGTTGCTGAGCTAGTGTATTATGCGTCTGTATGGGTCCGGGACTCTGAATGTACATGTCACCCTGAGTTGGGTCTCTGATAAAAATCTGATTGGGACTTGCTGTGAGCAATGTCTGAGGCTGCAGTCCTGTCCATATACCTTGGGCTGCAAAGGGCCAAGGTGCAAACTGCATACCTCTATTCTGTCCAGGTTGTCCACCCGTTGAACAAGTTGTGTACTATTGTTAAACATAATAGAAAATTTATATTACCTGAACAATTATTCAGTTAATCAATAATTGTTGAATTCTAACCTTTTGTACTCCGTCATTTTTGTTGTTGCCTTGTTGTTGTCCTTGTTGTTGAATTGAAGTCTGATGCTGAGGTAATACTTCTAATTGACCAAAAACTAAAGTTTGACCACCGCCAGGTGTAGCTGATGTTGGTACAGGAATATAACCAGCTGGAAAGCTTTGAACTTTAGTGCCACCTGCTCCAGGGTGTCCGCCTCCCTGACCAGGTGAAGCAGTTGTCAACATATGAGGTCCAGTTGCAAACTGACCAGCTTGAATTGGTTTTCCTGCTATATTATTGAACTGTACCTGTAAAAAAAGAAAATAGTTACAGTAATTGACAATTTCAATAATATTTGTAAATCATAATTTTGAATGTTTACCTGTATAGGTGAGGAATTAAGACCGGCTGGATGAGCAAGCAGATTTCCTGGCATCAGTATTGGTGCTCCTTGTGCATTATAGAGTTGTGGTAAATGATACTGATTTTGCATAGGTTGCTGTATTACTTGAACAGTTTGAGGATGTGCTGCCATCGTTGTAATTGTTGCTGCACCTTGCTGTCCTGATAAAGTCATTGATACACCACCAACAGATTGAGATTGTTGCTGAGCTTGTTGTTGGGCTTGTTGCATTGATACTGCAACTGTATCCTATAATTTGAAATGAATTGTTTATTGGTTGCCGCAATTAAAATTTGAATGCAAGCATTATGCAATTGTTTCAAAATTAATTTTTTTATTTCATGAATTTTATTTATTTTTAAAACTCATTTTGTAACAATTGCATCAACTGAAATTCTGAAAGCTTTGAACAGTTCAGTGATATTGGAGAATTGATTTTGATTGTAACCAAAGAGCAGTTACAATTGAAAAGTAGGATATTGATATTTTAATTTTATAATGAAAGTTAAAGAGAATATAAATAGCTACAGTATCAATCACTCAATCATGATTAGGAAACATGTTGATGTATGAAAAAAAACAATTGCGTTCTCATGAGCATGATTCACCTTGCTCTAATCAAAAAGCAATTAAAGATTGATGATAAATGAGTTATATGAAATCTGACTGTTGAGCACTTTGAGAAAATGAGTGCAAAATTTGTGAAAGAAGTAAAAAACAGTTAAATACATGCTGCTGTGGCATTATTGCTGCGACCTGTGGTTGGACAGAAACTTGAGTCTGCATCTTTTGCTGGCCGTTGTTTTGCTGCTGGTTTTGCTGCTGCGACTGATTCTGTTGTTGCTGCTGGTTCTGTTGTTGAACGTTCTGCTGCATGTCATGGGTAGTTATGATCATCTGTTGTCCCTGCTGATTTTGGTTTTGTTGTTGTGGCTGATTTTGAGATTGATCCATCTCCATTTGCTTATTGTCACCCATGATTATTATTATGTTTTGTTATTATTATGATCCAAAGCTCAGATAGATTGTATGAGATTCTATGTCAACACCATGACTAGAAGAATTCTAATGGGAAATTGTCACTGCACATCTGAAATCACACAAAATTTTTCACGATAAGATACAAAAAACCAAACAAAGGTAAATTTAAGAAAATAAAACACACAGAATGTCATTGATTACATTTGACTTTGCTTTACGTACGCGCGTATTCATTTTCTCTCTACTTGAAATTAATCAAAATTCGCTCGAACAAAGTTTTATGGGGGCCTCGTAATTCATTCTAAAATTCCACCCAATTTATAAACGAGAGGATCTCGAAACACGATGGCGCGGGCGCGGTAATTTATGCCCTCCTTATATTATGCATTATAATGCATTATATAAAACTAAGTATTGGATTACCCTTCAATGGCACAGCTCCTACATAATAATATAATAATAAACGTAGTAAAGCTCGTCTCCGGGTGCCTATGCGCGCGACCTTTATATAGGACACTTGGCAAATTTCGAAAACAAATCCCGAACTCCTTCCTTTTCAAAAGTGCGAAAACAAAACACGTTCGCGCCAGCGCAGCGGCGTGCAGCGCTCGTGCACACACATAAAATCGGCGAAGTGGGGGAGGTACATAAGTAAGGTATATACACTTCTCTCTTCTTCCCGGCATTTAATAAAATACATAAATCCCTCCGCTATGCTGGCGCACCACCACGAGCCACTGCTGCTGCCGAGAAAGAGAGAGAGAAAGAGAGAATGGAGAAAGAGACAGACAATCAGACTGTATTAGGCAGCGCGGCCGAGAGACTGCCAAGTGTGTGCGTTTGTGTTTGTATATACGTTTTATATATACTTGTGTGTTGTGTGTGTATATGTATGTCCCCTTGTGTGCTGCGCTCATTTGGAGAGTCAAGGCATACACACAGGCAGAGCAGTAGCATGGCTCAGTCATGGCGTCGTTATCTGTAGTTTCCGCTCGCGACGCCGCGAATATCAGCCGCTCATTAGTGCACCGCGACTATCTAAGAAGTGTATCATCGTCGTGTCGTCTTCGCCGCCGCCGTGGCTTGTGTGTTATCGTTAGTATAAAGCGTCCAAGTCGGAGCAAAGGAAAAGTTTGCCCCTGCGACACACAGGACGACAATCTACTCGACGATTTATGAATCGAAACTTCTGAGGTAAGAAGCTCAGCTGCGGCTTAGACAATTAGTGTGAGTGCGCTCCCGGTATGATCATAGGCGTGTATGTGTATACGCCTCCTGCTATTGTGTATATCAGTGAAAAGTGCCGCACGCAGCAGATGCGTGTCTCTGTGTAAAATATTATGCATATAAAAATGTTGCGGTGCAGTGCACGTATATATGTATATAAGTGCTAATTGTGAAAAGACACATAACCTCTGCCGCGCGGAAGGGACGCGCGCAAAAGTCGTTCGTTCGCTGCTGCTGCTGAGTGTTGCGGATATTTGCATTTGTTTCAAGCTCGTTATGCAGATGCTGTTAAGAATTATATATTGTTTCGCAGCTGAGATTTTCGGAGTGAATCGCGCTCCGAGTGTGTTGATTTTTCGAGTTAGAAAATCGGAGCGAAAATCTTGATGCCACAATGCTACAGTTTATTTTTATTTTTTTTACTTTTCAAGCTTCCCAATGAAAGGATCATTGGCCATTATACGTGACAATATAATATGGTTGATTACGACTCATTCGTAAATGACATACGAGCAATTTCAATTGTTGTTATGATTCTGTATGGACAGCTGAATTTTTGGTGTCATTTATTTTACAACGAGTGTGTACAAAAGACAAAACACATCATTTGATGAAAGTCAAAAAGATTATTTCTGTATGAAGATCATCCGCTTTGGCAGTGTTCTTCCAATTGACTGATTTTATTCATTGCACAAGATGTTAAAATTAGATAGCTCTTATCTTGCACAACAAAGATAATGTTCAAAGTCAGATATTTGTTCGATAATTATATAGTTCTCGAACGTATCCCTTTTTTTTTAAATAAATGAGTTACATCACTGTTATGTTTGAACAGATTGTTTTTGCTAGATTAATGTTATTTTAATTTAATTATAATAACATTATTTTACAATTAACAGCAATGACTTCCAGAAATTTTCGTATATTTATCATACATAAACATATGAAAACTATCAATCATTTGAAAAAAGATGAGATCACCTCATTTAATCATAAAGTTAAAAGTGGAATTTTGGATTGAATAATTTCAAGTAGATATTTCCTGGATTACTGTGAACTTGAAATGAGTTGTGTACTGGAAAGAATTCAAATAAAATCAAAATTTCCAAAGTAATGAATACATAAATCTGATACATTCGATGAATAAATCAAATTGGTTATTAAATCATCCAAGTTGTACGTGAATACCATGAATTGTACTCATTCAAAAGGCCAATGTAATTGTACCAGAAAATGAAAAATCTGAAACTCCGACTGAAACTTCACTTGCCTGTTGATCATAGCAACATTTGAAATTGCAATATATAGGTATGCAGAATGATTCGATTTGACGTGTATACATTCGATGCATCCGTGCACATAACGTCATAGAGAAGTAGTAGTATAAGTCACAGTCGCCGTCGTGACTCGGCGCGAGTGGGAGATTGGATAAAAAGAGAGACGCACAGAGAGACAGCAGCATCAGAACAGATCGTTTGTGCGCCGTCGCTCTTGAAAAGTCACGAGACGCTGCTGTGTGCAATATATAATAACTATAACAGAGAGCTGTTGCTGCTGCTGCAAGCATAGCCATCGCATGTCGCGAGAAGGGTAGGGGAAAACGACGACGACGACGACTTTCGCGCAATGTGGGTAAAGGTTGTGGTCTCGGCCGAGAAAATGCACACACACACACACACACACACACACACCCACACCCACATAGCATGCAAGTATACGTACGAGCTCTCTTGAACCGGAAGCATTGCACCCTATCGATATATACCATAGTTCTCTATGTGTATGCGCGCGCGACTGACTCCCAGCTGCGAGTGCATATAGATATACGTGTGTAGGATGTGTAAAGTGTGTCTACATCTATACGTAAGTGCGATTCGTGCAAGACACGTTTTTGCAACGCACCGCGATGCAAGTGAGGCCGAACCAAAACAAAAAAAAGTTAGAAAAAAAAAGAACGAGGAGAAGCGCAGCTTATATGGAACTGACCAGTCGCTATTGAATTTCTCACGAATTCACCTTTCTTGTCGCGCTCGCGTTGAGTCAGAACACAGCCTATATAGAGAGAGAGAGAGAGAGAGACCACATGTATATGATAGAAGTACAGGCATTTCTTCGACTTGGAGCGACGGGGCCTGACTCCGCTTCTTCTCGTGTTCGTCGTTCTACTGTCAAGTAATGCGTGCTGTATGTGTGTGTGTTGACGAAGAGGACCGACGATTTTTTTCTCTCTCTCGATGAGCGTTTAAGATTCTGAAGATGGATAATGGCATAGAGAGATGACCGAAGGCTCTTCTTTTTTCCTTACGCTCGGTGGACGTATAAATATTTAAAGAAACTTTCGGGGTTATTCAAAGGATTCTTTGGATGCTTGTCGTTTGTATGTATGATGGATTATGTATCTACCTGTCCGGACAGAGAGAGAGAGCAAAGCAGTGCAGATAAAAAAAGGAAACAAAACAAAATGAAAAGTCTTGGTTTTTTTGTTTTCTTCTGGTGAATCGACCAAACGTCGAGAGCCGCGTTACGAGCATTCAGTGACACGGACACAGACAAACGAAAATCACATACACACGTTTAGCAGAACTCCGAAAGAGAGTGGATAAATACTTGTGTCGTGGTGCGTTTGTTACTGTCAAGATATCGGAGTCGAAGTTGCCGCGATTAGATAGGGAGTATAGTAGCAAGTAGCAACGACAGCAGCAGCTATTCGATTGGAGAGACTCTCCGAGCACTGTGTTATCGAATTTTTCAAACGATTTCAAAGCAAAGAGTGACGAAAGAAAAAATGTGCCTACTCTTTACATATTTTATTTATTATGATTATTTTTGTCGAGAGTTGCTCGATAACGCGTGTGCCACTACCCTTCACAGCTGATTTTATAGCTCTATTTTCGGGACGGACGACGACGACGACGACGATAAAAAATAATCTGTACACGCTGTACGAATGAATGAATTTTCAATCGTTGGACGTAATATTTCCCGAGAGAGTCCGTTTCAAAGGCATTTTATACGTGCTAAACTGTAACGCAGCACGTCACAAACGTATACATACATGTGTATACAATATACGTGAGCCAAGCGCGCATGACGCGTCGAACAACAAATGAATCAAAAGGTCAAGTAACTCGCCTTATCGAGTGTATAGAGTCGTATATGCTATAGAGCCTCTTTCTCTCTCTCGCTCGCTCTATTGTATATACTACTCTATATACACGTGACGCTCGAGTGCGCGCATGGTTCGTTTGAAAAGTTTCGTGTTACTCCAATGAAATCTGTGTTTGCGTAAGTAGGAGGTCTCAAAAAAAAAGTGTATATCACGAGGCTCTCTCTCTCTCTCTTTCTGTGCACCGCTGCTTCATGACTGGATTATTTTTTCATGAAGTATATTAAAGTCAGTCGTTTCGAATGATTCGAGCTCGTGTCAAATCAAATTTGGCGAATGTGGGTATCGAAATGGCGGAAAGCACACAGCATATTGATAAGAACATAATGTGCAGAAATGAACAGCAGCGTGTAGCTTTTGTCATTTATTACGGACCGAAAATCTGTTCGTTTTCGAGGCACAAATCTGTCGCTCGTCGATAGCATTCGGTCGCTTCCTTCCTCCTCGTATACTTCACAGTATAATAAATGACTCAGTCCGAAATACGTATACAGAGAAACATCATTATGATGAGTCCAAAAGCGCGAGATATCGAGGAAGGAAACATCGGTGGAATTTCTCGTACGAGCATTAGTCTGCCGGTATAAAAAATACATAAGCTCGTGTGCTCGCTGCCGTGAGCTGAGCTTATATATACCGAAAAGCTTTTTATAAAACCGACCAGAGATTCAACGAGAGAGACACAAAGCTGAGCTATTATTCACGATGGCTGTTACGAAATAATCTGAATCTCGGAAATTCGACTGGTAACGCCGACCGATCGATTTTTCATCCTTCTTTTCTTTTATTGTCTTTCTTTTTGGCTATAACAAAACAAAATGTCGTCCCTTTAACGCGTGATGGCAGCCATAATAATTAGTTGGGCGCCCACACGTTAGCTCGTATAGATATATACAATACATCAACGTTATACAGTATATAGATATACGTATATTCGGTGGAACAACAAAGGCCAAGGCGGGGGAGCCCCCCTAGAGAAAAGCGAGAGACGGAGAAAGACCGGTTCAAAGGAACTCGCGTGGCTTATAAACGTGAAGAGCAGTACGCAGCAGCCATATATATAATACGAACATCGCCACCACCACCACCACCACCTCCATGGGGCAGGAGCCGAGCACCATCCATGTGTGTGTACTAGGGATGGCGGTGGTGCAGCACACAGGGTGATGCTAGCAACGAGATAGATGCCATCGTCTGTGTGAGCACACACACACAGGGGGGGGAGGAGATAGGCGAGCCGAGAGAGGCGATAGGATATGTACAGAGACTCGATGCAGCAGCAGTAGCAAAGCTGAAAATACCGAGAGAACCCCTCTGTGCAAGGCTCGAAGCGCCGCGGGAAGATAGACGAGATGAATAGACAGAGAAAGAGAGAAGAGAGAGAAGCGAGAGAAGCTTAATTAATGGCACATTTCGACAAAATTTTTCAACGGCTTTGGTGGCACCCAAGAACCAACGAATTGTACTCGTATATAGACAGTAATTCTAGACCAAGAGAGAGAACTTCTCGCTACTGCACATTAGTATCGAGCTCGTTTTCTCCAAGAGAGTCAGCTCAGAGAAATTTCACGGGGGATGCATTTTAATTAACAGTCGGGAAAGATCGGCAAGAATTTATGGTCAATCTTGGAGGTTTCTTTGGTGGCGCTACTCTATTTCGAGCACGACGAAAATATTGTTGTAATATCTTTAGAATAACACAAAAGTGTTAATTACAAAGAGAGTGAAAAAATAACACACGCACAGGCACTCTTGAAACGTAAAGTTTTCTCTCTAAAAGTGCTCGAAAAAAGTCAAAGCCAAACGCGATGTTTTTTAAGAGCGTATATAACGAGGAACAGTTGGACTCTGAAGAACATTAACGTTTTGTGTGTAGATGTGTGCTGCTGCTGCTGTCGCTGATGAAAAAAGAGAAGTCTCATACACGTTCATATATATTTACGGCCACTTATGTGCACATACACACACACACACACTCGGGCCTGTCACAGCTGTGCACATTATACATACATACACATGACATACAGTACACATACGTACACAAACGAGTAAAGAAAAAAAAGGAGGGAGACACACGCTCGCACATACACAAAATAAGAAAGCAAAATAATATATTATAAATGTATGTATGTATGCTTTTTGCTAAGCCCCCATGGTGGGGATATCATGCTGTACGAATACGACGTATAGGTAGATATATATACGGTGAAGCTCTCGCAAATAATGGAGGATATTTCTTTTACATTTCTCTCTTCTCTTCTCTCTCTCTCCCTTTTCCAACTCGTGCGTGCGTGTGTGTGTGTATACGTGCCGCATACACACGTATATCTATATATAGGCGCGCGCTACATCGCTAAATGGGGAACCAAAGGCGGTGAACCTAGCAACAGCAACGGAGCAGAGCAGAGAGGGCGGAATCACACGAGCCTTTTCTCTCTCCTGCTTTTGCGCTCGTGAACATACAGCGCACACGTACACATACATAGAAGGCAGATATATGCAAGCCGAGTCGCGCACGGAATCAGAATGAAAGACGCAGCAGAGACGAATGAAAAATAAGCATCAAGAGAGAAGGGGACGTTCCCGTCCGCAGAGAAAGAGAGAGAGAAATAATCCATCTCTCTCTTTCTCTTCCATTATATATACCAACATGGCATATACTTGGCGAGCAGCACACATACACAAGCACACACACTTACAGCGTCACGCATGAGTGCTCCGCATGCGAACAGTCATTATCGTTATAATGAAACAGAAGGCGGCTTGGCTGAGACTTTCGCCATCGCTTTTCGCATTTCTTTTTTTCTCCCCACTCTTGGTGCCTGCCGATTTTACCTATCTTATTTCGTATCGGTTCCCGTTTCCCCCCTCTAGACGTCGCCTCTCTCTCTCTCTCTCTCTGTCTTTCTCTCCCCCACTCAAAGTAGCATCTGGCATTGCGGTTACAGACGAATCATTATACATTATATACTTTACATGCCTCTCCAAGTAAGATTAGATTTCTTCGAATAATTTTTAATTCAGATTTTTTTCAGCTGTGTAAGCTTATTTTTCCTTCTTTTTTTCTCTCTTTCATTTCGTTTATTAATGCATAAACATGAAAAGCGTATGCTCGTGTCCTCCTTTACTTCGCGACTCACGCGCAGCGAAATATACACGTATCCGTATCTATATGCCTTATACGTATACTGTATATACCCTCTCTCTGTTTCCACGTAACTAACCAACAGAAAACGAGAGATGCGAGAAGGAGAAAAACCTGTTAATATTAAGTTTCAGAACCGCCTTGCTCGATTATTTTTTTTTTCGTTTTCTACCACACTGCCCAGAGGGAATAAGAATAAAACGAAAATACTCAGAGGTGGGCCCTATTTTAAAATTGATAGCCTCGCGTGAACGATAAAGAAAAAATATTTTTTTCGAGCCTAAAGCCTGTTCGAACGAGATAAAAAAAAAAGTACATTGGTATATAGCTATAGGTAGAGAGACTTAACAGTTATCTATATAGGCATGTATTTACATATACGTAGAGCGAGATAGAGATAATAGATATATATGTGTACTTACAATACGCCTGCGCAGTCACGCCTTTGCACGTTTCAAGTCTTTACACGTACCAAGAGCTGCAATAGTATATATTCAGAGAAATATTTGTTTCTCTTTTATTCACTGTTTTTTTTTTGAAAACTGTAACAGGCACTTTTGAAAATATCACACGTATATGCCTTCGTACACTGCACAACACTCGAGTATATATAACAGCACTGTATATATAACACACTTATTTTCTTATCAGTATAGATGTAATTACGAACACTTCGTGCACGTGTGCAGACCACTACTGGACACGTTAGATTTTTCAACACTCTGCCCCCGATCGAATCGAAACAATGGGCCACACTACGACGACGGAGCACTCTCGCACAAAAGAATCGTGTGGAAAAGAAAAAACCGAGAGAGAGAGAGAGAGATAGAAACTGAAAGCAACGAGGTCCGCACACCAACTGAGTGCCTGCAGTTCACTGATGCCCGAGCGAGAGAGGAAGCTCTTTCACACGGCTTCCACTGTGGCTTCTCATTTGTATACGAAAAATCCCCCACCATGGGTGCAGCGCGCGTTCGACAGCCTGCAAGCCAGCCACGCTGCCTCCGCCCAGCCGCGAAGAGAAAGGTAAAAATGCGCTCTGTGGCGGTGATTGGTCGAACGTCCGACCGATGGGAGAGGTCAAGTTGGAATCATTGGCGCCATGCCTATTGGATGAGACCGAGAGCGAATCCGAGCCGACTCAGATGCAGCTGGCCGGTGGGCGTGGTCTAAGTAGTTAGTATGGCGACTCAGTGGGAGAGGGTGCGCGATCGTGCGCATGCCCAGCCTCGTAGCCAACGAACACGATCGCTTCGCCAGCGAATAAAGCGCTCCCTAAATAAGCTGTCCCGTAGCCCAGTGGTGGGGGAGTCGAGTACGAGGGAGGGGGAAAGATAGAGAGAGAGAGAGAGGCTGCCGTAACTATATACGCTGTTGAGAGCGTATATGCGGGTGAGAGAGGGGAATAATCGTGGTTTGTGTGTGTGTGTGTGTGTTTGTCCGCTGTCGTTGTGTTGGAAGTTCGTGTGCATCTGTATGTGTGCGCTTGTTCAAAGGGGGATTTCGTGAACATTGTATGGGTGAGAGAAGCTCGAAACTACAGAGCAGGGGGGGAGAACGAATTCGTATGTACTGCGGGTATACGAAGTAAAGCCGCTGCTGCTCTGCTTCTCAGGAACGTAGCTATATACGTCGAAATCATCCACGAAATCCCCTTTTCTCCTTGATGAGCCTTTCTTTTTTTTTCTTGCCAATTCGCAAAAACTATTTATGTTTTGACTACGGATTGACGTGATGTTTTTCTGTTGTTTGTATTTTCAAACGACGATTGTATGGATAAATACACAAAGTTGGCGAAAATAACTGTTTATGTAGCAAACATTTATATTTAATTTACTAGCACGAACAACTAAAAATCGTTTCACAAAAATACCATTATATATTTTTTTTTATTCGTGAACTCGCAATGTGTTTCTTCGTTATCACATGTTAAACACTGATACACACACGAATGAATGGAACGTATTCACAAGTATTTAACGATAAAGACTAACTGAATGCAGCTTATCAATGTTTTTAGAATGAATTTCTGCTTGATAATAAGCTCAAATATTTTGGTTTCAATTTTATCTCTCTCATATGTCAATGAAAACTTATAGTCAGAATATTTGACTCTTGAATAGAGGAAATTCAGTAAAAATTTATTCCACTTCTTTTAAATTACAATTTTTATTTAGTTTTCTAATATTGAATAAATTTTAATAACTCAGAATAAATGAAATATTATTAATAGAACATATCTATTTCAGGCCAAGTAATCAAGTAGCAATTGTCCAAATCGAAAAATTGTGGTAAGTTAATTACATAATGAAAAATACTTGAGCTCATTCAAATTAAAATAGACAAAATTTATAAATTTTCATATGCCAAACACGTGAAAAATTGGGAAAATATAAAATCTGGATGAAATATGCATGAAAAGAATATTTTTAATTATTGTATAACATTTGATCAATAACGATTAATATAGAAAGAAGCATCAAAACTGTAATAAAAACATCAAGTCCATTTGGGACTCTCATTCCCCTACACATTGCAATGTTGTATTTTCCGTGAAAATCTGGTATAAAAGATGAGTGAATAATTTATGAACTTTTAATGTATAACTTTAGGTTCTCAAAAATGTACGAGTCAAAGTTGAAAATCATTTTATCGAAAAAAATCCCTTTCGATTTTCCACTAGGAAATCATTTATGGCCTTGTGTTTCAAGTATGAAAAACGTACCCTCATGACTTGAACATAAAGTTATGACGATTCAGATAGAAGAAAAAAAATTTTAACTCAAAAAATGGCGGCTGAAACATAAAAAAATCAAAAACCTTTCCAGATTTTTTATATCTTAAAATAGGCCTTCAGTAAAAAAGTTACAGATGACACAATTCTTAGAAATATTTAAAAAATGCGCTGGAGTTCTTCAGTTTCATTTGGAAATTTTTATGAATTTTCAAATGTTGTAAATTTCAAAGAGAAAACAGTTATTAAAAAAAGCCAAAAAATTCCAATGTATTCTTTAATATACACTGAAAAAATTTTCATCTGTAATATTTTTTCCCAAAAACCTTTGCTTTTGGATTAAAAAAAAATTTTTTTTCTGATGTAATTTAGGTTGTTTATAACTATAAGAGAAAAACGTATTAGATAGTAATAGTTACTTATGTAACAAGTGCCCAAAAAGCTGGGCACTTGTTGCATACAAAATTTTATGCAATAGTAGGCGAAAAATACGTTCATTTAAATGAGGCGTTTTACCACACACCCGTGTCCAAAATGGGGCATTTTACCGCACACAAGTGTCTAAAAACGCTTTTTGCGCACTAAAAAATGTGCGAAAAAAGACATTTTTCGTCATACTGTTGCATAAAGAACTTTATTTGTGACTGTGGAATGTCCAATGGACAAAAGGGTCTGTGCAGCGCAAAGGCTTAATCACGAGTGAGGTCACGCGGTGACCACCAGCTGCCAAAAGCAGCCGCTCAACGGGCAGAGGCGACAGACGTTTACATCCAACATTTTCAATTTTTTCATGTTTCAGCCATCATTTTGTGACCCTGACTGAAATGTGTAAATTCGAATCCTACTAAAGTGTCAAATATCTTTTAAGAGAATGAAAAATTTACTTATTTATTGTGGCCCATAAGTAAAAAGGCGTGTCAAAAAGCTTTGTAATACGGTTCAATTCCATTAAATTCAGAGATATATTTAATTTTGGTTATTTCTTTTTCTTTTGTTTTTGATGTTGTAAATATCTTAATTCCAAATCAATATTTTCTTTTGTAACTTTTTTTATGGTTTCGCTTTGTTCATATTTTGTATCTTTATCATTAACCTCACTATCTTCAGACGAACTTAAATTAGTTTCACAAAACTCTTTTTCCAATAAATTTTTGTTGCTGAGGCCTCGCCAATAGTCGCATTATTTCAAATATGAATGATCTAAATTATCACTCACATCAAAGACTTGGTTAAAACTTTGAATACCAGTTTCTCGCACTGTATCCAAGCTTTTGGCGATCAATTGTGAATGCATTAAAATAAATTCATCAATTTTCATACAAGTTTTTGTACTCGTACCTAATGTTTTTACCATTGCTGAAATTAACTCCTTGTAATATGACTTCAGAACAACACCTGAAATACATTTTCATTTGCTGTGGAGATTAAATTGGCCCAAAATGGAAAATAAGATGATAAATTCAGTTAAGGCACAATTGCAATTATTGCGTAACGCAGCAATATATTTTATTTGAAACAAAAATATAGGATTTATAATTTACAAAAATGAACTTAGCATCTGTTTGCCTTTGAATTTAAACAAGTTTTTCTTTCTGCACTGGGGTGACAAAATGAAATACAAATCAAATTGAATTTTATTGTATGGATTTAATTACAGTGGAACTTTCCTATTTTTCAATTTCGAAAATTTTCCAATAATCTCTTCTATATTCAAATTATCTAAAGTATCAGACGACGAGTTTAAGATAGTTCTATGATTTAAATTTTCTTCCGTCATAGATGTACGTAGACGATCTTTTATTTTCTTTAACTTTGAATATGCTCGCTCGCTACTAGAATTAGTTGTTAAAAATGTATGATAAATTTTCAATAATTTTTCTACATTCTTATAATTAGATGAATTTTTTTCAATTAACAACTTAACATAAAATTTTCGCAACTAATTTCCTTCGATTTTTCGTCGGTAAAGCACTGATAAAATGTCTTAAACTGGATCAATTCTTCAGCCAAATCATCATCAAAATAATCCACGTATATTTCGCATAATTTTTTGGCTGGTGTCTTATATCCGCAGTACTCATTACTGTAAGTTTGCTTAGAAATGAAAACCGGCCACTTGTTTCTTCGTACGCTTTCATTCGGCTTTGAATGGATACAATAAACTTATCAATCACAGGAAGAAATAAATTGACATAAAAACTTTTCTTTGGTTCGAACTGAGTATCAACGGCTTTTCCAAAACCTTGATGAACCAGTCGAGTCGATCGTTATGGTATACGTTTATTCAACTGTTGATAATCATTATTAATACACAAATTCTTGTCAAGGTGCTTAATTCTATCGAAATCATCTCGCTTTTCTTTAATGTACTCAAGCAAAGACTGTAATTCTGCTATAGCAGTGTTAAAATCTATATTTAGAGTTTGCAAAGATATATTTACTGCATTCACTCTTTGTAAAATTTCATTCCACATAACCGTAAAGATGCAGGTCTCCAATCTGCCCATAATTAAATAGAGACCCATTGCTTCTGAGTTTTCAGAAGAAAATTCCAAAAGAGTTGAGAGGATATGAGTGTATCCAAGAAACAAAGCTTTTACAGCATCTGCGCGCATTTTTTTTTCAAATTTTTTTTCAATTTTTTTTGCGATTGTTGGAGGCCTTTTTTGGTGGAGGCCTATAGGCAGCTGCCTATTCTGCCTATACGTAAGTTCGGCACTGATGGATTCATCTTCGTCTAGAAAAAAGAAGTGAATATAAAGAATGATAGTTAAAAAGAAAGAGAAAGAGGATTCGTCTAGAATTTGTCTATACATTTCAAGATATTATGCATAAAAAGATTGAGTTTATGCAATCGTGCTTATTAATTATATGGAAGTGTATCTTCGAAACTGTCCGAATCTTCTCCACGCGATGATTTCAATTTAAAATAAACATTGTGTTCACTAATACTATGTTTCTCACAGAACTAGTGTTACGTGTTACACACAGTCCAAATGATAAATTGTTTAAATTCAGACCGTTATATGATATTCATTGTTGATACTCAAAACTGAAGACATATCGAATTCAATATACGTATTTTCTAAAAATACATAGCTGTTTACACATTTATCAGCTGGGCTCATCTGAATTCTCAACTGAAATTTTAATTTGAATTGTACAGCTACTTTCACTTTTAAGCTGCAGTCCCGTTTTCTTATTGTTAATTCAATTTATTCTTTTCAATTCAAACTTCTAATATATGTAGAGGACCTAAAAAGCAACGTTTTGACACATGTATTAAATCTTTATGGATGAACGTGTGAAGTGCATCGCCCAATCTGTAGTACAAACTCAGTAAAAGTTAAGACGCTTCGGGGTAAACATAAATAAATTACGAAGACTGCAGCAAGTGAATCTGGTAACAATAAAATGAAAAATATTTAAAATTTTTAAGCGATTGTGTTTGTGCATCGAACGATAGAAATTTGGTCCAGCGATGAAAGTTTCCATGACTCAGACGAACTTACACGCGACAAATCCGATGGGAGCTCCGACGATTTTGAACACATAGATCAAATTAGCCAAATAGAATCGAAAGCATTGAAAAGTATGAAAGAAAAGCAAAATTAATTATTAAAAGAGCAAACAATATTTATCAAAGAAACTTCAACTTGAGCCGCAGAAAACTGACTGCTACCATCAGACCCGCACTCCAAGCCCGATGAAATACTCGCAAAAAATTCTACAAGCCTCAGATTCAGCGGCGGAAAGAGCTTGATCTTCTTCAGTTTCTCAAGTATCATACCTTTCTGCGTTTCGTAGTCTGCAATCCCGTAGAATGCAGTTCAAGTTTTCCTTTTCATATCCACATCTGCACCGCGAGTCTGAGATGATGTTCTTTCTTTTAAGAGACTTCTGTTGATAATAACGATATATCGTCGAGTCATTTTCACGTTTGACGACCATGGTGTGGAGCGAGTGCTGTTAAACTCACTCTAAAAACTTGTAATATTAAACGTATTCTTATATCGAGAAAGCAAAGATAGATCTCAAGTTTATACGGTCTACACATACTGTTGGTTGGATCGCTTGCAGGCTCATTCAATTCTGGTAATTAAGTAAAAGCAGCCTCATTTCAATGTCTCTGTAGCGTCGTATATATCTGTCTCTCTTGCGGACATGTGTTTTCGTGGGTCATTCGGTCAAACGAAGCGTAAAGTCGTTCTTAATTCTATTAGAAAGTGCAAGTGCAACGAAGTGGGGGGCCGAGCACTGAATAGTTTCCAGTGCGTTTTCACACTTGGTGTGGAATGTTCACACCGTATGCGTTAGTACGCGGTTAGTAGTTCTCGGAGTTGCAACGAGATCACATCGACTGCAGCAAGTGTTCCTCGTGAAAAAAAATCTTGAATTTTAAGTGACTTTGTATTGTATAAGTGAGTGCGCAAAAAGATGTCTAGGATTCTAGGCGTTGGTTGCATGTTTCATCACGATGAACGCTCAAGCTTAAAGAAAAAATGGAAGGGCTTACGAGAAAGTGTCAACTGGGAAATCGAAAGAGAACGATTTGGT